ATTATAGCCAACTCGGTGCTACGCGCCTCGTTGGCTATCTATCATCTCATATCCAACGCGCGCTCGTGGAATAAATGCTAATTGTATCATAACTAAAGTAAAGCGCGCGCTCTGATTGGTCAATTCAGCGTCTCCCATTTGCCCATGGGTGTACGCTGCTGACGTGAGCAAATGCAAGGACTATTCTTCCGCGCGCGATTGTTTTTTCTGGTCACGTAAGATTTTTTAAATAAAAGAGAACTCTTTAGCTACAATGTATTAATATTATGTTATAAAACAAATGGTAAACACCACGGCGTACATTATTGAGTTATGGATGCACTTGGGAGGTTTGCTAAACACTCAAGAAGCTAGAGTCGCTCTCGGCTATCGCCTCGAGCGACTCTTACGCTTCCTTCGTGCTTAGTAACCTCCCGCGTGCATCATAACTCAATAGTGTACGCTGTAGTGTTTACCATTTGTTAATTATGATACGATTCTTAGTTACTGTCCCCAGTTAAAACCTATTTCTTACTGGAAGTCAGGTCCTCAATGACTGCCGTACCTTAGACTGACAAACCCCAAAAATACGTGCTGACTTACACGGCATTGTAGACTATTCTACAAGATCCCCTCAATCTCTTTCGGTGCGTTAGGTATATAGTAATAAAATTCTATGATATTTGCAATCGAATCTCAGCTGTTTTGTTTATTCGTAGTTTTCGTTGCTGGCTTGATACCGTGTCCCGTGTCTTGTTTTCTTTGTTCACGTGCTTTCCTTCTATCTTCGTCAGTTTAATACTGAAAAGATGACATAAAATTTCATTTAAGAGCAAGAACCTGTTTCAGTGAGGGTTTAGTCCTCGCAAAAAAAAAATATATATTTATATAAATATATATATATTTATATAAATGAAGATGGAGCTTTATCTAATGAAAACACTTCAAAAATGGTCAACCTTAAAGAAAATTGGAATTTTTGATAAACGACGCGAAAGATCAATAACATAATTATTGGCTTTCTAAGTCATAGTGTTTATCTTTGAATTTTGATTTAACACCTCAAGCTACGGAGAAAGTTCGTATCTACTGTCCGAGTTTTGTTCTATTCCTAACTTTCGTTTCTAAGGTTGGGAAGAAATATAGAGATATTAGAAACAAGAAAGCGAAAATTAAATGTTTTGTTGAAATTATTAAAAAATATTAATGGTTCACAATTACTTTTATAAAAATGCCAACAATATTGTTTGCCTGCTGTACTTCGCTCCGTATGTTAAACTGGATAAACAATCATACATGTAGATTGTTTCAAAGGATAAAGAGGAGAAATGTCATTTACTACCGATTAAAATTTGGTCGAAGAAAGTCTCGAAAGGTCATTGTCCATCTTTAAAATCTTCTTGCGCATTTAGGAGCAACTTCAAAGTATTGTGTGGATCAGTTAACTCGGGATCATTAAAAGTTAATTTTTTTTTCAGAATTAGACAAACTAGTAGAAGCAAGAGTAAAAAATACTGAAACAGAAGGGAACGAGGATGACATAGGATGGCGAATTGCAACTAACAAACTTAATTTAATCTATGCTAATTTTTCACAAATGTACTGAATTGGACTTTTGAAGGAGTATTTTGTAGATAAAGAGTCTAAATAAACTTTGAACTTTCAAACGCGAAAATTTTATCGAGTGCATGGCTGATTTTGATATGAATCTAGTTGACCTCAAACCTCTCCGAGTTTTTTTCTCGTGATATTTCTTGTTGATCTTTACCTTTGAACTATCTCTAATTTATAACAGATGCGTGACTGGGAGATGGTCTCTTCTGCACGAGACGCGCGAGAAAGATCGAAGTTCAAAGTCCACTGTCACAAAAATTTGGAATTTGAATTTAAAAAAGGACAATTATGTATGGCATACACAATAAGGATAATTTCAAAATATTTACGATTCAGTGAACTGGAACAAAGTCGCAGAAAGAGAGAAGCCGTAGAAACGAAACCGCCTCAGCTGAAAAACTGCCATCGTTCTTTTCCAGATCTCTAACACTTTTCAAGAGTCAGGATATGAAACGAAAGTCCAAAGTGACAACCAGTAGAGAAAACGAAATTTTTAGTAGCGAAATTGGTCTTAAAAACAAGAATGAAAAGAATATCGTGACAAGCAAGTGCAAACTGGAAGAAGAAGCTGACACGCCAGGTGACTTGGTGGATTTTGACAAAGTTCCTTCGTTTTTCCGCGAGCCTTTTATAATATCGAGCTATCGCAAGTGTGATTCTTCCGCTTGGCATTGTTTCAAAAGCCTATTTCAAGCCACCAACGAGACGATCAACATCTGGAGTCATGTTTTGGCGTTTGCTGTTTTCGCGCTTCGCTTTGCTTCAGTATTCGCAAAACACAAGCCGTGGGACGATACGTTCGTATATCCACTCGTCTGCTTCGCATTCGGGATTTGTGTAATGCTTGCCATGAGTGCTGGTGCGCACTTGTTCAACTGTATGTCGATTAAAGCCCGTCATGTCTGCTTCTTCTTCGATTATGCTGCCATTAGCGTGTACACCTTCACAGCTGGGCAAGTATTTTATTTTTATTCTAGGCCGTTGAACACAAATTGGATGATATTCAACACTCCTGCTCTGTTCCTTGGCATCTCCGCCGCCATTTCTTTCGCATCCACGTGGGCGTGTTGCTACTCGTTCTGCAGCAGAAGTCGTTTCGATGCAGCTTTAAAAGCGGGCACTTACATTAGCTCCTGGCTATTTAACACTTCACCTTATTTGACAATGTTATCATTGTGTAACACAACATTAACTTGTAGCAGTCCTCTATCCATACAGTACTTCAATCGTCACTGCTTATTCTACGCGGGCGGGACGCTTGCGTATGTCTTCCGCGTCCCGGAACGTCTAATGATTGGCGTTTTCGACGTGCTAGGGCACAGCCATCATTTTCTTCATATTCTGTGCGCAATCGGTGCAGCAGATGAGTTTTCAGCTGTTGAACTGGACATGCTGCAGAGAAAGGCAATAATCGAGCCACTCCCAGGACCCACATTCTCAAACAGTATTTTGTTAACGATTTTAGTCGTTCTTGGAAACATCTCAGTAGTACTATTATGTACTAGGTATTTAAATCTGCGAAAACACTGACTTGACCCAAGAGATTATATTTTATAATCTCTTATTGGAACGAAAGGACTATAAGACAGAAATTGAGAATTTCGTTAAATGTCCATGCATCTAGAAGTTCTCAATGAATTTAAACTATTAGCCGTAAAACTGGACAAAAAAATTAACCATTAGAGTTAGAGACCCTCTCTCTGTTGAGGTGTTGACCAATAAAGAGGGTCTGGATGAGGTTAACTGACAACTGACAAATGAACAAAATTTTAACTGACAAGTGACAAATCCGCGCTGAAAAACTAACTGACAACTGACATTTGTGGTGGGCTTTTACTGACAACTGACAAAAGCCCGGATCGCCCTTAGTATCCTAAAAACTGGATGTAAAATAAGGACAGTTGATTTATTGTATTCACTGAAAGTACAAATTCCATTACATATCAGTAGGAGTACGCCAGAGTGTCCTATTTTGTTAATAATTAACGCATGTGCCATCCACATCAAGGTCATATGTCACATATCAGTTATATAATCTTTGATACCCA